GTTTAAAAAAGCAAAATTTTGAGAAAAAAAAAAAAAAAAAAAAAAAAAATCACAGAAGTTTCATTGTTTTATGGGGGATTGTGAAGTTTCCCTTTTGCATTTCATGGGTTGGGGAGAGGTAGCCTGGGGCTTTCAGATACAAGTTCATATCTTATCATTTTCCCTCCTTTTGTTTTCCTCTGCCTTAAATTTTTTTTCTTTCTGTGCCTACCATTGATATTCAAATCATCATCATCTCATGCCACATTGATAGATTAGTCCCTATTCTTTTACATTATTACACTATTCATTATGCATCTACAAGAATACTTTACTTTAGACACTGTTGCTATCTACATGACTCTTTTGTTCAAAAGCTTCAGTTTTGTTGTGTCCATATCTCATTCATTCCTTCATTTATTTCTTCCTCCAACAACTATGTAATGAGTGCCTATTATGTATTAGGCACTGAGGATGCAACTGTAAACAAAACAGACCCAAAAAGCCACTGCTCTCATGAACTTATATTTACTCACTAGAATCTAGTGTGCCCTCCACTCTCTACCAACTGTCCCTGATAAACCCTTGCTGACTCCTCCCTTCTCTGTTCTTTCTCTGCCCCCAGTTTCTTTCTCACCAAGTAGCATTCTATTAGAGTTATATCTCTTATGGATCCTCTGAACCAAGTGGATTCTGCTTCCTAACCCCATTCTCGCTCGCCAGCAACCGCCTCACCTTCCCACACAAGCATGTATATTATGGTGGTTCTCACACTTGCAACACCGTCTCTCCTCTCATCTTCCAAATTTTGACTCAAATCCCATAAGGAGTATTTCCCTCTCTGGCTATTCCTTCACCAGATCCCCCCACTACTATTCTAATTTACATTTGATAACAAGTTCCTTCAAGTATTCATGAGTTGTTTCATAGGGCTATGCTTGCTGCCTCCAGCTAAATTAGATAAATACAAAAACTTCAAACTCCAAATGAGTTAGGAAGGTAAAGAAGAAAGAGTCCTGGACTGGCAGTTGGATGACCTAGTTTCTCTTCTGACTCTGTGACTAACTACTTAGCATATAATCTTGAGCAACTCACTTACCTGCTTCAGACTTCAATTTTCTCCCTCACTGAAATGAAAAGATTTGACCTGAAACATGGGTGATCTCTTCAAGTACTCTTACAATACTACAGTTCTATTATTTTTAATTCCACAATCGTACTTTGTGAACCTGGGCAAATTGTTGAATTTTTTACCTTGGTTTTCTTACATTGAAATGGAATTGATTAATTTAAAAGATATGATGTACGAGAAAGTAAAATAAGATGTCTTTGAGAGAAAAGAATACTTTAATTGAAATCGTATAGTGCTATTTCATAATTTAGTCCATGTATGTTATATTATTATATTTTGTCACATTTGTACAAGATGTATAAAGAGGAGAAGTAAATAGTGGTAGTTACATGTCATAAATGAAAACAAGAGGTTAATTGCTTTAAGTGGGGAAAAAAATGAAATGTTTTTAGTTACATGCATACAGACAGCAATACACAGAAAAAGTTATTGACATATCCAGTACCCAGTATTATCATGGTGATTAGTCAGAGAAAGCATTTCTCATTCAAAAATACTCCATACCCACAAACCTTGAATTTTTCTGTTTAAAATATTACTAATTTGAGAGGTGTTCAAGTGACTTTTTTACATTAGAAATATGTATGAAGATTTTAATTTAAACCTGCCACCAGATTAGTTGTTTTCCAGATTACTGGATATACTACTATTAACTCTGAGGCTTACATAATATATTGTCAACATAATTTCAGCAAAATTTGTATTCTGTGAAATTTTTATACTTGGAAGAAAAAGTTGTACATTTTGTATAAACATATTCACATTTATGAAATCTCCAACATTAAGTTGAGAGGCAAGATCACCATTCTACAGTCCAAAAAGCAATAAATCT